ATCGTCTAAAGACAGCCGAGCATCCAGGAGTATCCAACTTAATCACTGCCTATCTCGCCGTCTGAGGCAACTCTGAGCGACTTCCCTTGGCTAATGTCCATAGCAACACTGAAAATACCCATTTTTTCCCTTATCAACAATGAAACCTTTTCAACTGTACATTTTTTTTCTCATGGTAGGTAGCAAAACAGAGAGGTTTGTCTCTCTTCTGCGTGACAGTATGGCCAAATGGCAGCCACTTCCAAAAGTCCACCGCATGGCCCAGGGACGAAGCCAGGGCTCACTGAAAATAACAGCTGCTTCCAGGACACAGTCCCAAGGGCCAGGGATGCACGCCCTCCCCTCCTTCCCCATCATGAGGATCAGAAATCTTAAAAAGAAAGAGGAGGGTGTGAGGCGTGCAGGGACCCAGTGGGAGGGAGAAAAAGCCTGTGGAGACCCTGGGGTGGGAAAGAATTGGGCGGCACAAGGGTTGGGAAACAGAGCACAGGGTGGGAGAGGCCTAGAGATGAGTACAACAGGCAAACCTGGGCCTGCACTAGGCCTCCAAGAGTTTTCCCCAACCCTGAGGTAGCCAGTGTTCCACTTAGCGACTGACACAAGTAATGGCTGCATCAGAGAGATCAGGGTAGTTTAGGAAAGTAGTCTCACTTAATGGCCGTTGCAACAGGCAACCATAACTGCAAGGCCCATGACAGTTATAACTTGAGGACCTTTTCTTAGCTGGCTGAGGAATTCTGGGCTTCAAACTCTGCAGGAAACCAAGGTAGAAGACCTGAAACTCCACATGTGGGAATTATATAATCAATATACAAAACTACCACCCAGAAGCCTTTCTGAGGAAATCCACAACTTCTACAAAAGGAAATATCCAGTAGCTGCTGCTGCTAACCAGAAATTGGTAGTTAGCCCTTTTCTATTTTCCTTTTCTTTTTTTTTAATATTTTTATTTTTTAAACCAGTCATACCACTTGTTCCATATTAGATAGTACTCTGTGTCTTCCTTTTCTTTTATCTCTTTTGTTAATTTGTCCATCTCAGCACAGTCCAGGATTTTTCTTATCACTTCTTCCTCTGATGGTATATTCTCATTTTTCCAGAACTGTGCATATGCTATTCTTGCTGCCGTTGTTATATGTAAAATTAAGTACCGTATTTCTTTACTATATTTTCTGTTTAAAATACACAGCAAAAAGATCTCTGGTTCCAGTCTATGGGTTGGTCTATTATTTCTTCGATCCATCTTCTTATTTTAGTCCAGTATTTTTTCGCAACTGGGCATGTCCACCATAAATGATAATATGTTCCATGTACTTTTTTACATTTCCAACATGTTGGCGAATTGTTATGGAACATCTTGGCAAGCTTTGCTGGTGGAAGATGCCATCTGTAAAACATCTTCAACTGATTTTCCTTGAATGCCGCTGACACAGTCAATTTTATGTTTATTTCCCATATTTTTCCCATTTCTCCAATTCTGTATTATATCCGAAATTTTTAGCCCATCTAATCATTGTGTCTTTGACAACCTCGTCATCCATTTTATATCTCAATAGATATTTGTATAAATTGCTAATTAATTTTATTTCTGTTCCATGTATAATTTTATCCAATTCTTGCGGCTCTTTTTGTATTTCATATAATTTTTTGTCCTCTGTATATTTAGAATGAATTTGTGTAAATGTCCACCGATCAATCTCTCTGCCTATCTCTTGTTCCAATTCTTGTTTTTTCAGATTTCCCTGTTCATTTACTAATTCCTTGTATCTAATTATCTTATTTATATCCAGTAGGTTTGGGTGTTTCAGAGCTTCTGTTGGGGATAACCACATTGGAATTCTTATATAATGCTTTGGTTTTATTTTTTCCCAAGTCTGTAGCAATGCATTCCTAACTATGTGTCTTTGAAAGTATCTGTGTATTTTATATTTTTCGTTCCATTTTCCTTTTCTCTCCACCTACAAGTCTAATCCTGAGACATGTTTGAGTAAAAAGATTCAGACCACAATTCAAATAGTCAATTTCTCAACTACAGTTTCAATGGGAGATCACAAATGAATTTCAAGCCTTTTCTAAATTCTTCAACTTTTGCCTCATGTGGATTTCCTTGTGTGCAATAAGGGATGATTTATGAGTGAAGTAATGTCCACAGACTGGACATTTGAAAGATTTCTCCACTGTGTGAGTCCTCTGGTGTCTCATAAGGTGGGAATTCCCACAGAAACGTTTCCCACAGATAGCACATTCAAAGGGTTTCTCTCCTGTGTGAGTCCTCTGGTGTTTCACAAGGCTGGAATTCTCACTGAAACGTTTCCCACAATCAGGACATTGAAAGGGTTTCTCTCCTGTGTGAGTCCTCTGGTGTTTCACAAGGCTGGAATTCACACTGAAACTTTTCCTACAATCAGGACATTCAAAGGGTTTCTCTCCTGTGTGAGTCCTCTGGTGTTTCACAAGGCTGGAATTCTCACTGAAACTTTTTCCACAATCAAGACATTCAAAGGGTTTCTCTCCTGTGTGAGTCCTCTGGTGTGTCACCAGGTGGGAATTCTGACTGAAATTTTTCCTACAATCAGGACATTCAAAGGGTTTCTCTCCTGTGTGAGTCCTCTGGTGTTTCACAAGGCTGGAATTCTCACTGAAACTTTTCCTACAATCAGGACATTCAAAGGGTTTCTCTCCTGTGTGAGTCCTCTGGTGTTTCACAAGGCTGGAATTCTCACTGAAACCTTTCCCACAATCAGGACATTCAAAGGGTTTCTCTCCTGTGTGAGTCCTCTGGTGTTTCACAAGGCTGGAATTCACACTGAAACTTTTTCCACAATCAAGACATTCAAAGGGTTTCTCTCCTGTGTGAGTCCTCTGGTGTGTCACCAGGTGGGAATTCTGACTGAAACTTTTCCTACAATCAGGACATTCAAAGGGATTCTCTCCTGTGTGAGTCCTCTGGTGTCTCACAAGGCTGGAATTCAGACTGAAACTTTTCCTACAATCAGGACATTCAAAGGGTTTCTCTCCTGTGTGAGTCCTCTGGTGATTCACAAGGCTGGAATTCTCACTGAAACTTTTTCCACAATCAAGACATTCAAAGGGTTTCTCTCCTGTGTGAGTCCTCTTGTGGGTCACCAGGTAGGACTTGCGACTGAAACTTTTCCCACAATAAATACATTCAAAGGGTTTCTCTCCTGTGTGAGTCCTCTGGTGTATCACAAGGCAGGAATTCTGACTGAAACTTTTCCCACAGATAGCACATTCAAAGGGTTTCTCTCCTGTGTGAGTCCTCTGGTGTCTCACAAGGCAGGAATTCTCACTGAAACTTTTCCCACAATCAGGACAGTCAAAGGGCTTTTCTCCTGTGTGAGTCCTCTGGTGTGTCACCAGGTGAGAATTCTGACTGAAACCTTTCCCACAATCAGGACATTCAAAGGGTTTTTCTCCTGTGTGAGTCCTCTGGTGTGTCACCAGGTGGGAATTGCAAACAAAACTTTTCCCACAGATAGCACATTCAAAGGGTTTCTCTCCTGTGTGAGTCCTCTGGTGTTTCACAAGGCTGGAATTCTCACTGAAACCTTTCCCACAATCAGGACATTCAAAGGGTTTCTCTCCTGTGTGAGTCCTCTGGTGTTTCACAAGGCTGGAATTCTCACTGAAACTTTTTCCACAATCAAGACATTCAAAGGGTTTCTCTCCTGTGTGAGTCCTCTGGTGTGTCACCAGGTGGGAATTCTGACTGAAACTTTTCCTACAATCAGGACATTCAAAGGGTTTCTCTCCTGTGCATGTCCTATGGTGCTTCATGACATGGGAATTTGTAATGAAACATTCGCACAATCAGTACAGTCATACGTTTTCTCTCTGCTGTGAATTCTCTGATGTATCACCACGTTGCCATGCTCACTAAAGCATTTACTGCATTAGGAGTGCTTTTATGGCTTTTCTCTTGTGTGGGTCCTTCCATGAACCACAAGGGAGCTGTTCTGACTAAAGCTGATATTCCACAGCTGATATTCTTGAGGAAGTCAAAAATATGGATAATCCCTTGTTTAGTGGTGCTTTCATTCAAGTCGTTCTCTTCCTCACAGTGTGAGGCCTGTATGACTCTCTGCTCTACGTGACTTTCCTACTCACCTTTTCCTCCAACTGACTTCCAGATATTTCACTCTTTTAATGAATTAAAAATAATCTCCCTTCACTTTTCATGTAATGTATCCTTGAGTTCTGAATAATCTACTTATTCCAGTTTGAAATCTTTCTTGATTTTCTCTCTTTTTTTCCTAAGAGCTGCTGGAAGAAGAGGAGAATTGTGTGGTTTTCTGAAGAAAATGGAAAATATTTTGATTTCTGCCTCGGTTTGCCTTCCTTTTCAATGTTGCTTGTTATCCTTAGCTGTCCAGAGTGCTCTTCTTCCCATCCTCTTTTCTATAAGATTTAAGGAAAAGTGTAACTTTAATTTTTATAAAATGGTGAGAGGTGTGAAAAAAGAAGAGATGTATACATTACAATGAAAAAGCAAACATGTCACAATGATAGAATAATCTTTTACATTGTTTATGATTCATCTGATACATGGAATATTACCGACATCCATGTTCAAATATCCATTCAATCAAATTCAGTTGTTGATTTGGGTAAACTTTCTTGTTGACTTTGGTCAATCACAAATCCTTAGCAATGCAAAGGGTTATCATCAAATACATCTGGAAGTGATGGGGATAGATTATATAATTACAGATATATGCATACAGAGAGAAATACAGATACACACTCCTACAAATGTATATATGGAAAAAATCTCTGTCTTTCAAGCCTGGAAAAATGTCCCAAAATAGTTTACAGTCAAACAGAATAACAGAGTTGGAAGGGATTGGAACGCAATTGTGAATGAAAAATTAGATTTCAAAAGTAGTAAAATAGGGGGGAAAGGAAGAAAGAGATTACCTAACGTGTTTGTTAAAATGGCAGGAGAAATCTGCGTATAAAATGTCTGGAGAGAAATAAACCCAAAAAAGACTCGGTATATATTTTATTCAAATAGACACAAATCATGGTCTAGAATTGATATGATATGGATGTCCCGTAAATTTAGAACTAATATACATGACATTGAGATAGAACCCAATATTTGGGCCGACCATAATCCAAAAAAGCTCAGTTGGACAGGAGTAAGGAAGAAATCAAGGTGGACATGGAATCAACTCTTATCAAAGGAGAAAGAATTTCAGAAATTGCAGTAAAGGAAATGGAATTCTTTTTCAAAGAAAATAAAAAAGAAGACACTTCACTCCAGTACATACGGGATGCAGCCAAAGCATACTTCAGAGGATTATCTATAACTTATACGGCTGACAAGAATAAAGAGAAAAAGGCACAGTGTACAACGCAAAGGGAAGAGTTTAAAAAATTGAAGCTAGAACTTCAAAAAGATCCAAAAAAAAACCTCTTAAAAGAGAAATGGAGATAATTAAACATAAACTAAACCTAATAGTCAGAAGAATTCGCTCAACAAATGAAAAGAGCAACACATTTTTTTTCCGAAAATGCAAATAAACCGGGAAGATGGCTGGCTTACAAATTGAAAAAAGAGAGAATTAAACTGAAAATGCTACAAGAATCCAAGAAGGACATGATCTGCAACGTGGATGGCATGCATTTCTATGGCATGAGAAGAATAAGATTCATAGTTTCAAAATCATTATATAAGAAATAAACTATTTCTTGTGTGCAAAAAGATAAAAAGTTAAAATCTACTTAAGAATCCCAGGATTGCTTTCAACAATGGAAGCGTTTGTTCACCCGAATCAAGTAAAATATGAAAAAAATGGACATATAAAGATATTTTGGATACCGAAGGGAAATTAAAATCTAACCAGAGCCTGTAGTCCAGGGTACTGAATTATCATGGTGGCCTCAATTGCAAATGCAATCGAGTGCGATAAAGATGAGCAAATGTATGATTTTTAGAAAGAACAATGTTTGATCAGATGCTGTTGACCTCTGATAAAAAACTGTTTAAGAAACTAAATAACTTTCTATTAAATTCAAAAATGGAGGATGAACAAGTGAAAGAAACAATGATACAGTGGGCAGAAAACTTTGGATATAATATAGAATTACAGAAATGGCAAAATCTTTGGGAAAGAAATTATAAATCGACCATGGCAACTTCTTATAAAGAAAACTGATATAAAATGTTCTATAGATGGCATTTACCACCTGCTAGATTAGCAAAAATGTTTAAAAATATGTCCAGTAAATGTTGGAAATGTAATCAAACACGTGGCTTGCATTACCATATGTGGTGGCCTTGTGTTGAAGAAAAAAATTTTGGGGCAAAACTACACACTTGGTTAGAAAAGATGTTAGGGAAAGATGTAGATTTTAATCCTAAACTCTTTATTAATTTTTATCAGAAAAATTTAATAAGCAAGCAGGTATTGTATTTCCTCAGCACTGGAAGAATGAAGAAAGACCACTAGACAAAGAGATAATCAAGAAGATATTGGACTGTGCTGAAATGGACAGACTTACATTGAGGATCAAAGAGAAAGAGGATGCAGAATATTTTCAAACATGGAATTTATTTCGTCCAGTGATGCAGCACTCATAACGTCTGGAGGGAAGCCATTAGCAAAGAATCAACCTTCACTTGAAGGAGACTTTTGAAATCTTCCCACCAGCAGAAAATCGCAGCCCCCAGTTTAACAGCCTGCAGCATCAGTGGACTTAAAAGTTGGGGAGGGAAGGAAAATGCAGCAGCAGCAGCTGAGATGCTTCAGCCTAGTTGCTTCTCTGCTTGGACGCCGTGGAGGAAACTAAACAGCCCCGCTTGCTCCCGGCTTCTCCTCCGACCTGCCCTCCACTCACCTTCCAGCTGCTGCTTCAATCTGGGAAGAGCACAAAAGCCGCTTTCCACACCAACCTCCTCCCATGAGTGATCCGGAAGAGGAAGTTCTGCTGTTGAAAAGGTCCTTTTTCAAGAGGCAACTGAACTTTCTTTCTTCTACTCTTCCCGTCCTCTCCTTTCTAGCAATATAGTACTCAATGGTTTTAACTCCTTTAAAGTCAACCACAGAGTCCGCCTTTTGGGCACAGATGTTGCCTGTTTGACTCCGGATAGGTGGCGGAAAACACGGTTGTCTGGCGTTTGCACGATTTCCT